GGCTCCTTGAGTTTAAGGCGTTGCCAGTTTAAGATAATGGGTTTGAGGGAAGTTGGAAGTTGAAGATTATTGCTGGGATTAGGGTGTTCCTGCTGCTTCTTCCCGTTGAGTTCTCGTGAGAAAAAAATGGGATTTGGAGAGAGCCTCGTGGAGTAGGTGGTTTGTGCGGGAGACAGCAGAACGTGTTTGCCCCTGGACCTGTGTGGAGGCGGTGTGAGAGCTGGAATAAAGAATTGCTGTTTGAACCTACAAAGCTGTGAGTGCCTCGTGATTCTGGTGCCAAGCCGAGACATTGGCCTTTGGCAAATCATGGTGGCCCATTCCTGTAATCCCAGCAACTAGGCAGGAGTATCAAAAGTTCAAAAGCCAGTCTCAGCAAAAAGCAAGACGCTAAGCAACTCAGTGAGACTCTGTCTCTAAATAAAAAATACAAAATAGGGCTGAGAATGTGGCTCAGTGGTTCATTGCCCCTAAGTTCAATGCCTAGTACCAAAAAAACAAAACTAAAAAAAAGAGCTTAAGGAGTTATCATGGCTAGTAGTTAATAAAGATTGTAACTTTGTTCATGGGGCAGTTTCAACCAACTAATTAGATGAGGTCAGCCACTAGCCACTGAGGTCAATTAGCTATTAATAGCTATTACTCAATTTCAAAGATCTTTTTAAAAAAATTATCATGTGATAATAATCATGTGATAATATTATCATATTAAAATTATCATGTGATAATAATAATGTATAAAACAGACCCTTAAAGGAAAAGTCACTGTACTGTAAAGATAATGAAAATTAACCATTATGTAAATTGCCTCAGTGCTCTCCACCAAAGAGGAAAATTACATTTTTAAAATAATATTCTCACATGGTGCATCCAAATATCTCTAGAATATCAAAAACCAGTGTTAAAAAATAAATAAAATACATTACCATGCTTCTAACTCATTACCAGACCTAAATATGTAAATCAATCAATTATTTTTTGCAACAAACACCCAACTTATTTTATGAAAAAACAATGCAAGGATGTCTCTTTTATAAGAATATTCATAGACCCTATCTTCTTATTCACTCTTGCTGGTGCTTAAGCACAGACCAGTTTATATTAAAGTTCAAATATTCTGAGTGCCTGGCTTACTTTCCTGATAAAATCAAAGACTTCAGGGAGGCAGTTTAATAAAAATACTTTCTACAGCCTGGTGCAGTGGTGCATGCCTGTAATCCCAGCGACCTGGGAGGCTGAGACAGGAGGATGGCAAGTTCAAAGCCAGCCTCACCAAAGTCAAGGCACTAAGCAACATGGTGAGAGCCTGTCTCTAAATAAAACACAAAATAGGGCTGGGGATGTGGCTCAGTGGTTGAGTGTCTCTGAGTTCAATCCTCAGTACCCCCTCCAAATAATACTTTCTACAGTGTTTGAAATTTGCACAGTGCCTAACACTATGGACATCATAAATCTCTTACAGCAAGGGTCTCTTTTTACTAAACAATGCAAATCATATTTGGTTCTCTAATAAGAGATCTTTCATTGCCTGTTTTCAAAGAAGAAAAAACAATAAATGATAAAAGATACTTTCTCAGATACTCTTTTAAAATGCAGCTGGCATTTATTTTTATATCCATTTCATACGAATGTGCTATACTATAATTTCATTAACAAGAGCCAAGTGAAATATTATTTCTTTCCTAAAAATCCACCTAATAAGTATCACTTATTTTCTTATAAGCCTGATTGATGCACTCTAATGCCAAAATCATTTCCTATGGATAACAAACCTGTACATTTTAATAAAGGCTAAAGAAATAAGTAGTAATATTAAAATGTACAGATTTGTTATCCCTAGGAAATGATTTTGGCATTAGAGTGCATCAGGCTTGTAAAAAAATCCTAAAAGATCTTTACCAGTTTTGTGACACCTACCCATATTTTGTGAGCAAGACTGATTTCCAGAATAACTTAAAGGTTAACATTTTGGTCAAGGTTTATATAATTCACACAAACTCTCTTTTCCGATTTTCCAGTCATCTCCCACTTCAAACAATACACCTCCTCCCTTTCGTTTCCCCCATCATCAGAATGACCCACAGTGCCTTGAATACCATTAGGACAGAGAAATAATCTTCATTTCTAGTCTGGCCTACAAGACCGCATGATCATTCTGTACACTATCTGCATCTTATAATAAATGGCATCTATCTATCATGGTACCTTATTTTCCATATGATCACAGGCATCAAGGATATCACTTAGATTCTGTTCCAAGAACAGCAATAATAGGTCACATGAATAACAAAATTACCCAAGTCCAATATATCATCTATGTCATGGTGAAATATTCAAAGAAAAAAAGGAACAAGTAATTTATCCCTGAGAATTCTTAGAAATAACAATAATATAGGGCTGGAGATACAGCAAGGGTAGTGCTTTATTTTTTATTTTTTGATGCTAGGGATTAAATCCAAACAAGTGCTTTACCACTGAGCTATATCCCCAGCCTGGTAGAGCTCTTACCTAGCATGCCAGAAAGAAGGAGGGAAGGAGGGAAGGAAGGAGGGAAGGAAGGAGGGAAGGAGGGAAGGAAGGAGGGAAGGAGGGAAGGAAGGAAGGAAGATAAAAAAAACAATATGATAAAGTTATGTAAAAATGTCTATTTATATAAGATTAATATACAAAATTTTTTTATGCATTTACAGTGAACAATACAAAAATAAAATTTAGAAAATAATTCCAATATAAAATGTGCAACAACTATGGAAAAAGAGCAAGGGTACTTTCTCAAACAGTTATGTTTCAGCCCACATATTTACACTCTAGATCCATTACATTATAAAACCCCACTGCTATTCAATTTTGGGGGTGCACATGGAATTCTAAACCAAATATGCTATTCGTCATTAAATTTCCAGTCAACGGTGAGAAATAATCCTTAAAATTATTATGCTTAATAAACAAATCTTATTTTATATATAATTATCTACCATTGTAGTGAAAAAATAAGTAATTGTATACCTTTTTCTCTTTAGTCTTCTGTGCAGTATGAGAAGTGACATTCTCATTTTGGTGAACAAAGTCTTGAGCTACAACTGTTTTTACAGGATCTCCTTCGAGAACACAGTTTAAAAACTGCACTGTGTGTTCTAACGAATAGCTGTAGAAAGTTTAAGTACAAATACAATGTCAATATGTAAAAATAAGATACGTGGAGACATTAGCATAAGCAATCATCAAGTATTTTGTAAGAAATAAATTTTCAACACTGAAACAAAATGTTTATTGTGTATTTCAAAGAGTCAAGAATGATCTGCAGGAAGCTGATCAGGAATAGGCTCACAAAAACTAACTTTAAAATTCTTTAAAAATTTCCAAAAGGTAACATTGGAGGGTGGGAGGGATAGAGAAAGGTTGATCAATGGGTACTAAGTTACAGTTAGATAACAGCAAGATGTTCTAGTTTTCAATTAGCAATAATCGTGCCTCGGATAAACCTCATTGGCTACGATACTGCCACTGCGCAAAGCTAGCAAGATGTTCTAATGTATTATTATATAGAAGGGTGATTATATTATCTATATTATCTACATCTATATAATATTAAACCACATTGGATACCCTCATGTTCTAATATCTAAAGAAATTAATTCCAAAGAAAATTATAAATTATTTCACACTACTCATTATTTCAGACTATTTATGCCTCTCATTTCTTCCATTGGCCAGATAATGAAGAGCTGACCATATCTGAATATTTTTGAAATGTGACAGGCAGTTATCTAAAATAGTATGTATTAGTACTCTTCAATTTATCATAGATGACTTGTGAAGGGGAGCCATTTGGGACTTGCAATTTAGCTTTAATCCTCTCATGATGCTGCCTTAGAAAAGCTCAACACAGAGGGGTTTCTAGGGGATGGATGCTACTAACAACTATCCAATCTTTTTGAGCCCTTAAAATCACCTACCAGCTGGACATGGTGGTACACACCTGTAATCCCAGAGATTTGGGAGGCTGAGGTAGGAGGATCACAATAAGACCCTATCTCAAAATTTTAAAAGCTGGGGATGTAGCTCATGGTAGAGCACTCCTGGGTTCAATCCCAAGGATCACAAAAACAAACAAAAAATCATCTGCCCACTCATGGGGCTGGAAGTTAGTCCCCACCACTGGTATTTTGTTTTGAGGGTTATGGCCCTAAAAGATTATACTTCATTCATAAGTATAGATTATAAGATTATAGTTCAAGTATAGAAGTAACTTAGCCCACCTACCCTCCTTACCATAATGAAGCTGAAGCTACTGTTTGCTAAAAGAATTAGCTGTTGGCAGATAACCACCCACTCCAAGCGCCTGACTAACCAATCACTCTGACCATCCCTAGAAAGGACTCATGGAACCCCCTCACTTTGCTTGGGGAACACAACTCTGAATTGTTTCACCTCAAATCCTCTGGCCCCTGCCTCAACAGAAGAGAGCTACCAGATGCCAGCAACACCTCCCTATCCCAGAACCTTCAGAGATCTTAATACATAATTTTAAGAAAACAGTAGGTTGGTAGTAAAAATAAATTAAAAAATTATATTGCGGCTGGGGATGTGGCTCAAGCGGTAGCGCGCTCGCCTGGCATGCGTGCGGCCCGGGTTCGATCCTCAGCACCACATACCAACAAAGATGTTGTGTCCGCCGAGAACTAAAAAATAAATATTAAAAATTCTCTCTCTCTCTCCCTCTCTCTCCTCTCTCACTCTCTCTAAAAAAAGAAAAAGAAAAAGAAAAAAAAATTATGGATTGAAATAATACTATTTAAAAAACAATTTAAATGACTTACTTAGAACTTTGCATACTTAACAGAGAATAATATTCTTTTCAAAAGTACTCTATAAAATATTTATAAAAAAATGATCATGTATTAAACCACAAAGAAAATCTCAAATTCCAAAAAATAGAACTCTTTTTGGCCATTTTCTTTCTTATTTATTTATCTATGCATGCAGTACTAGGGGTTGAACCTTAGGGCCCTCTACAGCTAAATTATATCCCCAGCCCTTTTTATTTTTAGTCAGGGTCTGGCTAAATTGCTGAGGCTGGTCTCAAACTTGGATCCTCTTGCCTTAGCCACCTAAGTCACTGGGTTTACAGGTGTCTACCATCATGCCTGAAAAGAAAAAAATTTTAAAAGGGTCAACCTTACTAGTAATTAGAAAATAAAATTTCTTTTTTTTTTAAAGAGAGAGAGAGAGAATAGAGAGAGAATTTTAATATTTATTTTTTAGTTTTCAGTGGACACAACATCTTTATTTGTATGTGGTGCTGAGGATCAAACCCGGGCCACACGCACGCCAGGCGAGCGTGCTACCGCTTGAGCCACATCCTCAGCCCAGGAAAATAAAATTTCAACAATAATGAAATATCTTTTTTCCTATCAGATTGGCAGAAACTTAAAGTTCCTAATATCCAAGGAGGTTATACTCTCTGTACATATAATTAATACAGCCAGTCTTTATTAAAGGAAATTTGCATTAGCCATAAAATTTTTCAATGACACACACTATAAAGCAGCAATTCCACTTTTAGGAATTATCCTACAATAGCATTCACCCATGTACACAAAGATGTATGTTCAGGGATGCTCACTGTAACATGGTTAGAATTTTCTTACCACAAACAGAGGTATATTTAAATAATTATGGCACTTTAGATTAATTTGCAGGCTTGAACAAGAAAAGAGCAGATCACAAGGACAGAAAAATAAACACTAGCAAAACTACAAAATCAGTACATAAAATACAATCTCTTATTTAAGTGAAGTACACACACACACACACACACACACACACACACACACGAAAGTAAATAGGCACATATCATTAGCACATATGTAAGAAAAACATTGAAGAATATGAATTCCCAGGAACTGTTAGCCTTCTACATTATATACATTGCATTTAAATTTGTTTATATATTATTTTTAATGAGAAAAAATAAACAAAAAAGATTATTTGGCATATGCTTTCAGTGACATCAGAGTAGAAACTCTAGATACTCCTTCTAGCACTCACTTGTGATCCTTGAAAATGTCCACCAAAAAATTTTGGTTAATGGCTGGAAATATCTTAAAGAGCTGCTTCTCCTTTAGTTTAGTGGCACAATCTTTTTCAAACATAAGTGTCTCCCTTTTCTAAAACAAAAACATAAAAATCACCTTTTAGGATGAAATTTATAAAACAAGCAATGCTAACCAAAAGAATAATTATTTTGTTGCAAAAAAAACTAAGAATTTATAAGCAATCACAGAATTTCTTCACTGATTAATGGTTGAAGTTAGTAGTGTATCATTGCACTATTTATTTATATCCCATTTTTAGAAAGTATTTGAAACCCAAAGGACTTAAAATCAGCATATTACAGGGACACAGCCACATCAATGTTTGTAGCAGCACAATTCACAATAGCTAAACTGTACAGTCAACCTAGATGCCCTTCAGTGGATGAATGGATTAAAAAAATGTGGTATATATACATAATGGAATTTTACTCAGCAATAAAAGAGAATAAAATCATGGCATTTGCAGGTAAATGGATGGTGTTGCAGAAGATAATGCTAAGTGGAGTTAGCCAATCCCAAAAAACCAAATGCCAAATGTTTTCTCTGAGATAAGGAGGCTGACTCATAGTGGGGTAGGGAGGGGGAGCATGGGAGAAATAGAACTCTAGATAGGGCAGAAGGGTGGGAGGGAAAAGGAAAGAGCAGGGGGTTAGCAAGGGTGGTGGAATGTGATAGACATCATTATCCAAAGTAACTGTATGAAGACACAAATTGGTGTCAACATACTTTATATACAACCAGATATGAAAAATTGTGCTGTATATGTGTAATAAGAATCGTAATGCATTCCACTGTCGTTAATTTTTAAAAAATCAATAAAAAAGACATTATATCATCTGATGATGCAAAAAAAGAAAGTATTTGAAGTTGCTCATAAATATATAACTACATATATAATCACACAGATGTGTATGGGTGTATAAATATGTACACACACACTCATATATACATATCCAATACATTCAATCATATTAATAAAAGAATATATATATACAGTCATGCACCACATAACACCATTTCAGTCAATGACAGACCACACATACCATGGTGTACCACAGCCTAAGTGTGTAGCCTACACTCTCTTGGCTCAAGCAAGTACACTCTATGATATTCACTCAACATATTGCCTAATGTCACATTTCTAAGAACATTATCCCTGTTGTTAATTGATACATGACTATATATAAATAAATAAAAGGTTAAGCATGGGGTCCAGTCTAGGAAACAGAATTAAATGAAAATCACAAACAAGCACAATTGACTGAGTCAGAAACAATAGCTTAGTATTTGTACTAACTCATACCAAATCATGTTTTTCCTGTAAGGCAATTTCTTCCGACATTATTTCTCTGAGTGATACTTTTTTAGTTTGAGTATTCCAATGATCCAACAAGGGGAGCATTTCGGGTGCTGCTAAAGTCTTCAGCAATTTTTTGCCTGTTCTCTGAGATGATTTTTGTTCAGGATTATCAAGACCAATATGTCCAACCAGGGAAGAATCTACAAGAGCAATATAAGTACTGTCAAATCCTCAACAACTAATGTACACAATCTAACAGAGGTCAAGGAAATGTGCTACTGTTTTTAGGTTTTACTTTTCAGCTTTTAAATATATAATAGCTCTGAAATTTCAAAATACATCTACACATAATTGTAAACAAGAAATAAAATGTATAAGTGTAGGAATATTTCAAATGAGAACATTGATCTGAATAAAACTATTAATCAACTTAGCATATAATGGTGATATGTATTTAGGACACTAATAAATAGAGGAAGTTGCAGCCAATGAATTGAGCAACTGAACTCATTGGTCAGTTCTGCCCAGCTACTGCAAGGACTGAGAGGATCAATATTTTGGCAAATCTGTAACTCACTGGAGGCACACAATAAATATTGAGCTAATGATATTCAAAATAAAGAACTGAACATTCTAAGAAGTTCACAGTAACAGAATTTAATGTGTAAAATTTCAGCATCTCTACAGACACATGCTGACATATTGCTTTGTTTTCCCAGGGAGAGAACAAACAGCAAACACTGGCATTCCCACAACCACCATACACTCCAGGTTCTTCTACCCCTCATACTACGTGGAAGCTATGATGTGAGCATAGGTCTGAATCCCAACCTAGAGCTCTATGCCTTGGTCACAGCTGGGAGTGGACAAAAGAGATGCCTGGAGGATTTCATAAACAAAGAAGTACCTTTATCAACACTTCTTCCACCCCTCAGCAGAAATCAATGAAGACAATGCTGCCTTAAAGGAATCATCTGTAATCAAGTATTCAAAGTGGTAGGATATACCAAAAAGCAGGCTGGCCTTTGGGCTCTAATATTTTAACATCAGTAAAAACTTTGAATAACCATGTAATTATTCAACAATGCTCTCAGATATTATATTTTACTGTTCCCAAACCAAAATACTTTTCAGTCATGCAGAGCAAAACCTTAATAGGGAACACTTTTTTTTTTTTTTTAAAGAGAGAGTGACAGAGAGAGAGGGAAAGAGAGAGAATTTCAATATTTATTTTTTAGTTCTTGACGGAGACAACATCTTTGTTTGTATGTGGTGCTGAGGATCCAACCCAGGCCGCACGCATGCCAGGCGAGCGCGCTACCGCTTGAGCCACATCCCCAGCCCCAATAGGGAACACTTTGACTATATTTATTAGAGCATACTTTAGGTGTTTCACAGCACTCATGATAAAGATATAGTACAGAGGTTTTATTCTCCTTTTTTATTTTGTATTAAAGATTCAATGTTGAAGCCCAGCAAGGTAGGGTATGCCTGTAATTCCATGGGCTGGAGAAGCTGAGGCAGGGGGATCACAAATTCAAGGTCAGCAAGGCCCTAAACCACTCAGTTAGACCCTATCTCAAAGTATCTAAATAAAAGATTCTAGGGATATAGCTCAGTGGTAAACCACCCCTGGGTTAAATCCCCAGTGCAAAAAAAAAAAAAAAAAAAAAGGAAGGAAGAAAGAGATTAAATGTTAAATATTTTTAAAGAACTTTCATTTACAAATCAAAATTTGAGTAACATATTTTTGGAAGGATATTTAGAATGAATTCACACACACACACACATACACACACCAGTTACAACATTAAGACAAGAACATCAAAAATAAAAATACATGCTTTACCTTGAATAACCTTGCCACAAGATACTTCCTCTTGTCTTTGTCGCTCCTAAAAACAAATGCAGAGCAGGGGATTAACAAAGGAGTGCACTGGTAACCAAGCTCACAGGTTATATTATTTTTCTCTAAAAATCAATTCTTTTTATATAATTGTAAATTGTTCTTACTAACTGTAAGGAAAACAATAAAACTAGATAAATAAAATTATAAATATGGCTATATCTACATACTGTTCCACTTACAGAGCTCTTACGTTGCATTTTCTAAAAAAATGTTTTTGAAATTTAATCAATTCACATTGCAGTCTTTTAGGGAATAAAAAACTCACTGTTTATTTTTTTTCTTAAAAAAAAAAAATCAACAATCACATTGAGCTCCATCGCTAATTATATAATTGGCCAGTCTGGAAATAGCTCAAATACTGAAAAGAGAAAAACAATCAGTAATCTGTTAACTGGCAAAAGTTCATTCTCTCAAAGTCAACTTCAATAAAACTTTTATATAGTATGGTAGATTTTATTGAAAACAAAGGTAACAAAATAAGACACAAAAGGAGTTCTTCATATAAAGAAGCCTACCAACCATTACAGATTCTTTCCATTTCTCATGAATCACTTTAGCCAGATTCAGATCTATATGAACCACACAATCCTCAACTGTTAGAGACCCTTGTAAAGGGGAGAAAAAGAAAATACATTCATTACTCATTATATATTTACAGAAAATGTACTCAACTATCATATGCATTATAAAGCTGACTTGTATTATTAATTAGTAACTTATGCTCATCTATTTACTTTAGCCTCTTGGAATATTTTTCTGTTGTCATTGTTTTCACACTTCTTAACTGGTACAATTATACAAAGTTTCATCAAGAATCTAAGCTATTCACTTTCCTTAGTTTCAATACATGTAATTGATTCATTTCCATTAGTTCAGATTTTTCAGTAAGTGTATTCTAAGAAATTAATTCTTGCTTTAAATGTATCTGGCATAGCACCAGAAGACTCAAAGAAGTTCATCTGTGTGAGATTAATGCCACAGTAAATATTCAATTCACACATGGGATGGATACAAACTACAATATAAATGTTCTCTACTTCTTCAAATCTCTTTTTATTAAATCCTCTAAGAAACATGCTGAGCAAAAATTAAGGCACTATGTGCAGTCAGACACCATAAATTACTTTTACTTTTCAGTTAGCATATGAAATAGTTTTGCAATTAAATAGAACCTTTGTATTTCTTTCACACAAAGACATAATATAGGTAACTTAGTTTTTCCTTACCTGAATCAATACCAACTGGGCCAAATAATTCATTAAGTTGAAAAGCCAGTTCTGGGGGTAATGCCAATTCCAGACAGTCTATGGTCAGAGATTTGGCCATCCCTGGCATGGGATTCAATATCTCAGTTTTATCTTCTTCATTAACTCCAACTGACAAGCTACTTCCCGCCATTAGAATTTTCTCCATTTCCTGTTCATCTACATTCATAAATTCTTCAGAGTTCACAAATTTCACATAATCTTTTGGAAAATTTTCATTTTTCTTTATTTCCAAAGAATCAGTAAAGTAAACTTCTTCATTTAATTCAAGATTTGAAGTACTTGATACAGAGTTTAAAATATCTGATAAATTTAAAGAAGAATGCATACCATCTTCAGTCTCTGCCGCTACCAGACTGTTCTCTATTTCACTCACATCTTTAGGGGTAGCGGATTTTAGAATAACTGGAAGAGACTGCTTGAAGCTACATAAACCTGATAGTTCTACCTGGCTGTTTCGAAGTATTTCACTATTACTCTTCAGATCTACAGCAGCATTAGGAAATACATTTGTTATTGATCCAAGCTTTTCAGGAGTTACGGCTCTTATTTCTGCCTGCTCTGAGTTTAACTTTTCAGCATTATAGCTAGATTGTGAATTAATATTACTGATACAGATTCCAGGACTAATTTCTGGCACAAAAGAATTAGAATCCTCTACTGTTTCTCTTTGGCTAATAATTTCCTTCAAATTCAATCCCATAGAAAATGGTCCAACTTGTGATTCATCATATGATTTTTGGAAATTGTCTAATTCAGTATCCTCACATAATTTAGTTTCAGAATCCAACAGAAGACTTGTGGCCCAAATAATATCTTTATTACACCTTTCATATAAATCTTTTAAGGCTTCTAATGAAAAAGATCCAAACAGCTTACAAAGGATGTTAAGATTTTCAGATTCATCAGCACTGGTAAGTTCACTTTCTTCAACATACGTGCTTTTATCATACATTACCCTATATGGAATTGTCTCTTGAACATTTGACTTTGTGTTAATATTGAAAGCTTTTGGTTTAAATCCATCTAATCTTCCTATTAATACTTTGATAGAATCTGAAACACTGATTTTATTCTTTTCTATTTTCCATAAGAGAGCAAAATCCTGTGGTTCAGTCTGGGTACATGTGCCTACTTCTATTCCGGGGACTCCTCTAGTCATTTCCCCTGGAAATTCAGCTAGAATTTGTGGCCCTACCACTCCAGTAATGGTTGCTGTATTACTCGTGAAAGTTAGAGGCAATGTGTGCTGCCCATGAATCATTTTACTTAGATAAGTTTGATTCTCCTGGGTCATTTCACTGGGTATCATGTCAGCACTTTGTAGAGTGGAGCTCCCCAAGAATTTTAGTTCTTTAGGGCATGTGCCCCAACAGGATTGTGTTGTATATAAGGATATTTCATTCATATTATCATTAGTTCCAAATTCTAGGTTGGGTTCACTTAAATCAGCCTTTGGCATTTTTGATCTATGCTCTCTCTGAGCTAAAGAATCAGATGAAGGCCAGTCACCTACAATATTAAATGAGTTTTTTTCAGGATTTTTATAAGTATCATATTTACAGCTATTGAGAAATTCTGAAGAATCATCACACTGTGACTTCCTGCCATCATCTACACTTTCATATGCAGATCCTTGTTGTTGGATATGATCTGTAATCATGGACACACTATTATCTGATACTTTGCGTGACTGAGGGCGACTATACTTTTTGTCGCTTTGTATAGATGAAGCTTTTTCAGATTTTCGGTTCCTTTTTGTTCTCTGACCAATAGTCTTCTCAACTGGCCAATCACCAACAAAATTCGATAGCTCATGTCTTGGAAACTTTTCCGAAGGTGATTTGCTTTTTTGTTTCCCAAAGGCTTTTTTCTTTACTGTTGTTCTTTCTTCTAATATTTCACCTGATGAAGATTTTTCATTTTGAAGTGGTACAGTATTTGCCAGATCGCAGTCTTGATTATTTTCACCAGAGCAAATACTTGGTGATACTCTATCTGCATCAGTTTTAATACACTGTTTTTCAGTTGTCATTTCTACTTGCTCTTTTTTTTCTCTCTTGTCTGCTACTTGAACTTTGCTTCCAGAGTCTGAAAGATAGATGTGTGCAGCTTCCTGAATGAACTGACTCTGAGTGTTATGATGTGTACCACTTATTTCTTTCCTTCCTTTGCTTATATCTGCATGGGGGAGATATGTAATATTCTCAGGCAACACAGTTTCTTTGGTCACTTCAGGATTCTTTTCTTCAATTAATTCTAGATGCTTCAGTGATGAGGATAAAACATTTTCTTCTTTTTCAGAGGTAATATCTTCATTGTCTCTTGGGCTGTAAGATTTTTTTAAAAGTATTGTAAGGAAGTTTCTTAGTGTTGGCATTAATACCATGATTTAAGAAGTATTTGACTGAAAGACAGGGCACTTACCACTTATTCTAAAAAATTCTAAAAATAAACTATATTAAAATTATAAAAGCTATGCTAGGGATATAGTTCAGTGATGAAGTGCATGCCTAGCATACAGCAATTCCTGCATTTAATCCCCTGTGTAACATCAAAAAAAATTTTTTTTCTTTAAAACAAAAGCTAATGTTGATCTTCCCCAATAAACTATGAAACACATCATTTGTTGTAGCCTCAAACACTTAGCTAGCATGAGGCTTAGCACATCTGAAGCAAATTCTTTTGAACTGAATAATAAACACGAGATTTTTCAGTAAAGGTATTCATTATGCACTAAATATTAAAGTCAAGGATGTAAATTTGTTCCCAGGAGAGCATACCACCCGCCCAGCTTCTTTCAAACCTATTTAAACTTAGCATATGTAAAACTAGGTCTACCTCTATATCTATATCTGTCATGCATTATTAAAGCAGCTTCATTTACAAAGTCACAAAGAGCCAACCAAGATGATTTACATGATTAAAAGACATTAGAGAAAGGGGAAGAAATTTCATTTGAGATGTCATCTGTTAAATGTTTTAAAATCATGCTTGATGTTAATTTCAGACTCAGAACACTTTTGCCTAATCTTACACTTTCAACTTCAGTGATTTTTCCTTATTTAATTTGTCCATTTATCCTCCTTTCTTTCTTTATTCTAGGAACCCTCAAAGTCCCAACTCTCCCATGAAGCCTTCCTAAGTGAAATCATACCAGACATTCATTGAACTTTCTATGTGCCGGATTCTATTCTTTATAGTATCCTATGAGGAGAGTATTGTTACTGTCATTTAGTAATAATGAGATAAAGTAAAGAGAGAGTTTGTGATTTATCAAAGATTAGAGCTTTGGGATTTGGGCCTAGGAAATATAGCTCAAGTCCATGAACCAACCACTTAGCAATACCATTTCTCAATTAAAAATCATTTATGAGTTTTCTCTTCTCCACTCCCAACTCCCTTTTTTTTTGGGGGGGGGGAGAGTCCCAAGGATTGAATTCAAGGGCACTCAACCACCGACCACTGAGGCACATTTCCATCCCTATTTTGTATTTTATTTAAAGACAGGGTCTCACTGAGTTGCTTAGCATCTCGCTGTTGCTGAGGAGTACTTTGATTCTCCTGTCTCAGCTTCCTGTGCTGCTGGGATTACAGGTGTGCACCACAGCGCCTAGCTCCAACTTCCTTTCAACAGAGTCTCTCCATCTTTTATCATCATAAAATATGTATAATTAAGACCTCTACATATATCTAGGTTCTTCTTTACTCACTTATTTATCAAATATTCATGTACTATAAATACTTAGTAGAATCAGTACTGATATGGTTTGGGTAAGTGTTCCCCAAAGGCCATGAGTTAATCTTAGTTCTCTGAGTGGCACTACTAGGTAATATGGAACATTCAAAGGTGAGAAGGCAAGGTTTTTTGTTGTTGTTGTTGTTGTTGTTTTTATTTTATTTTATTTTATTTTATTTTACCATACAATTTATTTTTATTTTTTTTAGTCATACATGACACCAGAATGTATTTTGACATATAATACATACATGGAATGTACATACATCAATCACATTGTCTATTCTGCTGCCAAGAAGGTAAGGTTTAACGGGATATTTCAAGTACACACCAGAGTATGTACTTGAATGAGATTGTGGGACAGCCCCCCGACCCCATCCTTGACTCTTCTTCCTCTTTTGCTTCCTGGTCATAAGGTAATCAGTTTTGCTCCTCCACACAATCCCACCATGATAAACTGCCTCACCCAGGGCAAAAGCAATAGGGCAACCAGGCCAAAAGTAAACCTCTTCTGTCATTAGATGATTCTCTCACATATTCTGTTATAGTGAAAAGGAAGCTGACTAACACAAGTATATCCCAGATAGTAAACTTCGAAAGGGCTACAATATATATAACTCAGTAAAAGTATATTATGAATAACTAACTTTTATGAGACTAGCTTGAAAGAATATTTTCAGTAAAATATTAGAAAATTAAGATGTGATTTGGATATACATAAAATAACAACAGTGAAGAGATAGGGAAACACTGGAATAGTAGAGCACATTACATAAAGAAGACAGATGTATTCATAGTACAATCACAAATTCATAAAACTCTAAATACAATGAAAAAACTTTTATATTATCTTTCACATGAACTTCCACTTCTCTAACTTAACCTCAGCTAACTCCAGAGGAGACTGTACCTAAACCCTTAAAAATAACAAAAGTCTACCTCATTTTTAAAGTTAATCAGCAGTAATTTTACAAGCTGCAAAAGTAACTGGTTTCAAAAATATTATGTTTCAAATTGAATTTTTTTACATAAGGCATTTTAACATACCTGGAACTTCTATCCTCACAAGAATATGCACATAATTCAATACGTTCGATTTTCTCTGGAACTGAAGAACTCATAATTATTGGCACTGAAACAAAACGTTGATAGTGGTCTAACATTCTTGTTATTTTTTCTTTGCTTATCCCATGAATATTACGCCTAAAAATTCCAGGAAAGAAAAGGTGCAAAGGATATTGGTAATTGATTTTTTTAAATAAATATAATGTCTAGGAAAACAATGATACATATACATTTCTCTTTTTTTCCTTTTTTTTTTTTCCTTCAATACTGGAGATGGAACTCAGGGCCTTGAGCAGGCTAGGCAAGAATTCTACCACTGGGCTATTATCCCCATTAATGATACATTTCTAACACATAATCTTAAACTGTTTATTATGATGTAATATATGCTATTTGATTCTAATTTTCATTTTTGTCAGACTTATTCACAAATTGCCATTTTCTTAATCATCTCATACAATCTTTTTCAAATACCCTTTATCAATTTGTGAAAAAGGAGGTTTCAATAACTTTAAAAGAAGTTGTTCTCAAGTCTGCAAAAAATCTCATAAGCATGTGACTGTCATTTCAAGGTATTAACGAACTATTAACTAGTAAGTACCAGACATCACATTATAAAAGTTTCCCCTTGTGCCAGTATGACAGACCAGATGCCCCAAACTGCCCTCCTACTATAATAAAACTAGATCCCAAGTAAATTAAAATGAACATGTTTTATTAAATTTTAAGTTCAAGTAAAGAACAAAGACTCTGGATATCCAAATATGAAGTTGTGTTTTCACTCATGGTGGCTTATTTCTTCATGTGTCTTTGTTAGTGAGCTCATATTTAGTTGAAACTAAAACATGGAAATCCTTAGCTCTTAAACTAAAGGAGCTTTCATTCATATGGCATCTGGATCTGCATCTGCCCAGGAGGTGAGATGGTTATGCTTTAGTCACTCAAGTGTCTTGTCTTAATGAAAACATGTCAGCTACAACTCTTCTATCCTAGGTTAGAGTCAAGGTTTCATGTCTGAATCCCAGAGCTAATGTTATTGTTGCCTCTTGGATGAATCTGGCTTTCATATTTACCTACCTCGATCTTGTCTGGTTTCAGATCACAGAGAAGCAAAGAGATAGAAAATATGAAAGACAGGTTAAGAAACATAGACATAGAGGACAGAGCAAAAAGGTCTAGTACATATCTAATTCAAGTCCCAGGAAGAGAAGAGAGTGCATGGGACAAAATCAACTTAAAGAAAAATGCTGAAAAATTTTCAGAACTGATGAAAGATACCAATCCCCTGATTTCAGAAGCCAAATTCCAAACAAGATAAAAATAAGAAATCCATAACTAGAAAACCAGAACCGAAACTGTCATATACCAAAGACAAAGAGATGATATTAAAAAGCAGCCAGAATGTTTTTAAAAAAATTTTTCAGGTAGTCATCTACAAAGGAACCAACAATTAGAATGACAGACAGCTAAGTTAACAAAAATAGAAATGAGAAGAGAGTTAAATGTCTTCAAAAACAGAAAATAACTATCAACCTAGAATATACAGCAAAAGTATCTTACAAGAATGAAGACAATAAAAGGATTTTCAAATTAAAATTTTTAAAAAAAGAGTTTGACACCAAGCATACCTTCATTGTAAAGAAAATTTTTAAAGAAAAAAAATTCAGGCAGAGGGAAATTCCCAGATGAAAGGTCTACAATGCAAGAAAAAAATGAAGCCCAAAGCAATAACTACGTGAATAAGTAAAAACAAATGCTGCCAATATATACTGAACAATGATACCATGTAAGTTGGATGGGAGGTAAGTATCACAGTTACAATGTCTTAAAGTTCTTGTACTTATGAAGAAGAAGGCTAAGAAAATGGTTTTAAAGTTTGTATGATAAAACATATCAAGTAACTATTAAAAGAATAAATATAGTGTATATAATCTACAAATTAGTAAAGTAAAAAAATGAATACAAAATGTAGATTCAATCAAAAATTCCAAAATAAAGCATGATAGGAGAAAAAAACCAATTATATAATTTCTTGTGACAGAACAGTCACAGAAAAGGTAAGATAAAGAGAAAGCACAGTGAGACAGTAAGAAGGATGATCAATTATATGAATAACAAAACCACAAAAATAACTAAGTTTATGAGTTAAAAGCCAAGATGGACAGAATAGAATTTTTAAAACCTGACCATAGCAGTTACGAGAGATACATCTAAACATAAAGACATTGAAGGGTTGAAAGCACAAGTATGAAAAAAGAAACACTAAAATACTAAAAGGAAGCTGTCATAGTTCTATTAATATTAGACAAATTAAACTTCACAGCACAATTACTATTAAAAATGAAAGAAAAAAAATCACTAGAAAGGTATAAAAGTTTCTTTCATTAGGTGATATCAAAATCTTAAGCACCTATGAACAAATACTCTCAATATATATACAGCAAACTTAGGAAGAAGGATAAAGAGAAACTGACATGTTCAACATAATAGAGGAATATATCAACACACCTCTCTCACACTGGGAGATTTCACCATCACTTTCCCAAATACTAATCTATCAGGCAGGAAAAAAAAAAATAGCAAGCTATAGGTGATGTTAAGCAACATTAAGTAATAAGCATAATTAACGGATATGCTAACATACTATAACCAGTATACATTCTTATCAAACATGGAATATTTATTAAAAAATGACAACAGGGCCATAACACATTTTAAAATATCAAAGAATTAATATACAAACCATGTAATCTAATCTCCTATATGTAAATTGAAAATCAATTTTTTAAAAAGGATAACACCTATCCAGAAATTTAAAAACAAAGTTCTAAAAATCCAAGAATTAGGGGCTGGGGATGTGGCTCAAGCGGTATCGCGCTCGCCCGGCATGTGTGCGGCCCGGGTTAGATCCTCAGCACCACATAACAACAAAGATGTTGTGTCCGCCGAGAACTAAAAAATAAATATTAAAAAAAAATTCTCTCTCTATCTCTCTCTCTCCTCTCTCACTCTCTCTTTAAAAAAAAAAAAAAACCCAAGAATTAGAGAATAAAATTAACCATATGCAATTTAGAAAACAAATAAGAAAAAAGAAAGCATTATATATTAAAATTCTGATACCAGATAAAGTAGCACACAGGGAAATATATGGCATCAAATGCTCCTATCAGAAAATGACTTGTATGTTCAGGTAATGAAGTTTTAAAAATAACAGAAAAAGCAAAGAAAACAGATATTTTTAAAAAGCAAAGAAGGTAGAATAAAGAGAATCAGAAATTAATTAAACATAAAACAACTTACAATAGAAAAGATCAACCAACCCCACGAGTTGTTTTTTTGAAAGGCTAATAAAATAAAATGTAAAAAAATGAAATCTGAGAATAATCAAGAAAAAAAAGAAGGAAGATACTTTAAACACACTAGGGTTGAAAGGAGAAACTTAATTGTTAATGTAGCAGAGATGTAATAAAAGTCTTAATAATTTTGGTGTAATGGAAAAATTTTAATTGACCCTTCTCACAAAGAAAACACCAGATCCAGACAGTTTTATAAGTAAATTTTATCAAATGCCTGAACTTAGATAAACTAGAATGAGAAAAAGAGGCAATACTTCCCAATTAATTTTGTGGACCTAAAACTATTGATAGCAGCCAAGGCCAGCCAAAGAAGGAAAAAATGCAGGTCAATCTCACTCATCTATCCGGATGTAAAAATCCTAAATGGACTACAGAAAACCAAATCCAGTAAAGTATCAAAAAGATAATTAAAAAGAAAAATACAGATATGTGTTACAACATGGATGATCCTTGTAAATATTATGCTAAGTAAAAGATGCCAGACACAAAAGGCTATAGTTTTACAACCATTTATATATGATGTCCAAACAGGAAAATCCATAGAGACAGAAAACAGATTAGTGGTTGTTAAAAGGAGGGGGTAACTACTAGTAATTGCTAGCAGTTACAGGGTTTCTTTTTGAGGAAATGGAGGAATTAGTGGTAATGGTCATGTAACATTGTGAATAGTAAAGTTAGGTTGTCCTTTAGTTAGTATTAAAGTTAGTTAAAACTACCAAGAGAAAACAGCATGACCAAAATTAAGTTAGGCCTATCTCTACAGAAATATAGAGAATAAAGCAAAACACATTGTATGTCCATGTCCTAAGTAACATTTTTACTCATCAAGCAATCAAATAAAAAAGTATTATCCTAAGAGGTGAGAGAGTGAAAATACTTGGATGTGACATATACTACCTTTTCAATTCTTACCACCCTTCAACATTCTAACTCTGCAATATAAGAACCTCCCAGCAGCACACAGTTCAGCTGTGCCAAATCCTAGTCAGTTCTCATTTTAGATATTAATGTTACTATTAAAAGGAATTGAAGTACTACTACATAAAACAATTGAAATCTTTTTGACTATAAGCACAATTTTAGAAACAAAAACCTTCATTAAAAATGGAAAAACCTCATAAACAATACAAAATTTGTTATCAGTTTCTAAGTAGCAAAGCTGAAATCTAGTCAATTTTACTTCATTTATCTTCCATAAGAGAAAAAAAAATCTACATGGATTTCTCTGTCACTATCATGAAATGAAATAACAAACATTTTAGGTAGCTTCTAAGTTTTACCTTGCAAGCTCCTTCGGTTTGAATTTCCACCATGTGTCCGGTTCCCGGAAGAGGACCTTATATTTATGTTTTTGAGACTACAAATGAAAAGACAAGAACACTTTAAAACAATTATTTCTATGAAATTATTATATACATTGTTTCTAAACTCATAGCATGTTAAAAAATAAAAGAACCCCAAAGATTATCTGATGGGTATGTTAAACTGATAAAATGCACAATTTATTTGACCCAGCATTTAACTTACAGAAATTTATGTTACTGATATTCAATATAAGAGAACAAAGATGGATAGATAAACACACACACACACACACATATACACACACACATCCCACATTCACATATGCCAGGATATCCAGCACTATCATTTGTACTAGTGAAAAAAATACAAATAACTCAGTGAACATTAACTTGGATTTGGCTAAGTAAATGAAGGTATAACCATAAAATAAAGATATTATGCAGTAATTTCTAAAATTTCACATGTGTTAAATAAAAGAAGTCCTTAAAATAAATTGCTGAGAAAATTAAGACAAAGAATTTTTCACTTGGTTACAAAAGAATTATTCACACATTTGTACGTGCACAGAAACTTCTAGAAAGAGTGTCAAAATATATAGAGCATTTAACTCTAAGGAAAACTTCAGGCACCGTTTTTTGCAATTTGAATATTTATCATATATGTGCATAACTTTTATAATTTTGAAACTCTTTTAAGTAATAGTTTATCACATTTTCAAAGCACTAATATAGGTATAGACTAACAGCCAACCTCTATACTTGTACACAAGATCTAGCCCCTCTTTCCTAACCAAAAATAACTGAGAAGGGCAATTCTCCCTCTTGTGCCATCAATAAATCTTCCTTCCCTCCTTAATCATTCCCATAAGTATATGAAACTCCATCCAGTTATTTCTCCCATTTTGCTCTTGTCTCTACTTCCACTGTCAGCTATATCCCTATTTTCCTGCTCCCTTTTGTTTAAAAAAAAAAAAAGTCTCAAAATTATCATCTTTTCTTTCTCTAATTTCTCTATTCTAGCCTCTCTTCAGGCCTCACCAATAGGCATCAAACAAGCAAATAACTTCCACATTGAAAAATGCTATGATTCTCAGTCCTCTCTCACTTGACTCTAAGCCACATCTAACACACTTACTTTATGACACACTCTTCTATTTCATACTCTTCTCTGTCTTTTCTATGCTAGCACTTTCTTCTCAGCTAATGATAATCTCCAGTTATACCAGACAAAGACTAACTTTAATGTCACAATTGATTGATTCCTCCTTCTCCTCTATCCCACCAGTACTAGGAATTGAACCCAGGAACTTGCAATGCTAGGCAAGCTTCTACCACAAAGTTATATCCCCAGTCCTTTTTGGGTGGAGGATGGGGAAGACAGAATATCACTAAATAGCCCAAGTTGACCTCAAGATCCACCTCAGCCTCCCAAGAAGCTGGGATTGCAGGTGTGTGTCACATGTTCAGCAGCACTCCTCTTTCTATCATACATCAATCCAATAAAAAATTCAGTTTGCTCTACTTTCAAAACATATCCAGAATCTAATCACTACCTACTATCTTCACTGCTATTATGTTGATAAAAGCCACACAATGTCTAATCTTAATTCCACTACACCAGCCTTCTACTAGTCTCCTTGCTTTCAACCTTGCTCCCCAAATCTATTTTCATTAGTGCATTACAGAGATCCTATAATATTCAGATGTCACTACTCTGTTCAGAGCTCTCTATTATGGACTGAATGTTTGTCTATCCCCAGAAATCATATGTTGAATCAAAGAACTGCACCCAATGTGATAATATTTTAGAGATAGGACCTTTAAAGAGGTAATTAAGGTTAAATAGGGCCAGAAAGGTGTGGCCCTCATCCAACAGGAATATAAGACAACAAAGTGCTCTCTCCCTCCATCATGTGAAAGTACAATGAGAAGATAACCATCTTCAAGTCAGGAAGACAGCCCTTATTAGAAACCAAACTTATAGGAGCTTAATCTAGGACTTCTAACCTGCAGAACTATGAGAAAATAATCTGTTTAATCTAACTGGTCTATGGTATTTTGTTATGGAAGCCTCAGCAAACTGAGACACCCTACAGATCACTCAAGGTAAAATGCAAAATCCTTATAGTGACTGAGTCCTTAATAATCAGCCCTGCCATCACCCCAATATTCATTACATCTCCCAATATCCATCCCTTCAATTTTATGACAAGATACCCAAAGTGGTAATTGCTATTTTCTTCCATTCCAAACAGAAAAGCCCAAAAGTCAACCCAGACATGAAACAAGGAAGTAATATAATGTCCTATAATGTGCCTACTCCTATCTCCTCACCTCAGCACCAAATTTCAAACAACTTATTCTACGTCTGGCAATAGGTTGGGTGTCTTATTACCTAAAGGGGTGTCATGTAGCAACACACAAGAGAGAATGTGAATTTTAAAATCTTTTCAACTCTTACATGATCAGGTAAATGTTATATTATTTAGGAGCATTCTGGCTGCCTTACATCAAGCTTCCCTAAGAGAAGCAATATATATGTTTAAAACAAAGTAATAAGTTGTGGCAGTTGTCAATAAGACTACTTGACTGCTCCCAAGTTATTCTCAACTCATTACTTAGCTACTTTTCGTAAACGAACATGCTCTATTCCACTTCCTGACAGCTCTCTTACCACAAAGTGATCCCCTTCTCTACAGAAATTGCTGTATCTGCTTTTTGAAGAAAATATGAGTGTGGCACTCCATGATAAGGTGGCATCTTTTATATACATCAAAGTGCAACTGGGAAGAGCCAAGCAATCAATACAGAAAAATAGTTTCTATATTTTCAATTATTATATAAGAACAAAGGAAAAAGAAAAAATTATAAAAGCCTGAGGCCTAAAAAAAAAAAAAAAATCAGAAATTCAGCAAGGAGAGAAGCTTTCTCTATTTTCTACATAGGAAAATAAAGTATTTAAAACCTTGGGTTTTTCCCACTCCTGAGGATTGAACCCAGGGCCTGAGGAATGCTAAGCAAGCATTCTACCACTGAGCTCTACATCCCCAGACCATTTCATTTTAAGATAGAATCATTCTAGTTGCCAAGGCTGGCCTCAAACTTGGGATCTTCCTGCCTCAACCTCCCAAGGAGCTGAGATGTCTAAGAAGACAGCAGGAAGCAAAGGAAGACCTATGGAGAAATCATGTAAGGTCAAGGGAGATAGTATACTCTTATGATAAACATATTAGCCCAGAAATTAGAACTCCTGGGGTCCAAAAGTAAACCAAATTTCAGCTCCCAGTACCCTAAAATCAAGTCTGTTTCCTCTACTGCCCCTACACAGAAAAAAAATCTCATTTGCTTTCAAAAGACACAACAATTTTCTTTAGAAGGGTAAAGAATCACACCTTCAAAATAGTACAAGTGCACTAGGTACAGCAAAGGAGACAGAGTCTGGATGTGTTAAGAATTTAAAAGAGGAAACACAATACTCATTTACTACAGTAGAAATTGCATGTGCTAATGATGGAGGAATAAACCAAAAAATTACCCCACATTCACAAAAGCTTCATTTATGGATTTACTCAATTAATACATAATTAATATATGCCAAGTATAGTGAGTGCTATGCGCTAAAGATCCAATGACAAATAAAACAATGGTTCTACTCATGAGAATAAATTGATGGCTTAAAGCCAAATCCAGCACAAAAGCCAATATTTGTACAGCTTGGAAACTCAGAATAGTTCTTTACATCCTTAAAGGGAAAAGGAGTAGAAAAGACAGGAGAGGAAGAAACAGAGATTATTTATGGCCCTCAAAACTTAAAATATTTACTGTCACTTTATAGAAAAGATTAGTCTGATCCATGGCCTACTGATAAAAACTGTATGCTTCATATTACAAAAGAAGTCTCAACATACTTTATAAACAACCAAAAATATGAAAAATTGGGCAATATACATGTAATAAGAATTGTAATGCATTCTGCTGTCATTTATTTTTTTTTTAAATCAATAAAAAAAAAAAAGAAGTAAGTACTATGGGAGTAGAAAAAGTACCTAACTGGCTTTTAACAAGTTAGTGACAGCTACAAAAGAGATGACCCCAAAGATTGACAAAAAAGAACAAATGTAAACCAGGCAAATGTGGTAGGAAGGTGACGTAGGTGTGCTTCAGGCAAAGGAAGAAGGGCTAAGTATTAAGGGGAATTTGGCAAATTTGGCAAATAGATAATAAAGTTTATAGAATTCTGAATTTCTCAGAATAGCTAAAAAAGTTAGTTTTTAGTTAATTTGTAATTTAATAAATATGATCTTTTCATAAAATATATCAAAACAAAAAAAACAATCTCAGAAATTAACATCTGAATTACAGAATTTAAAAATTAAATAAATTTACTAGCTTATGGAAAAACCCAACTGAATTGATTGTGCTATTTTTCTTATTTTACCAATAACCAGAAAGCTCAGTTAGAGAAAGAACAACCTGAGATTCTCAAGGGCTTGAGATTTACTTGGGTAATTAATATCCTCCAATGTTTCCAAATACACTATTTTAAACTTAAGATAACTTATGGTACAAACCAAAGCAACATATGGCTTCATTTCCCAGGCCTGTAGGTTTGTATTGTCTATTATTATTGGTGATATCTTCTTCTCAAATGCTTCTTTAGCTGAAAAATACAATAGAAAATGACAAATCACCTTTAATAATATTATTATCTTGATTTTTAAAAAATCTGATCTTGTTTACATAATTTGAAAACCATAGACATAACCTAATTTTACTCACTACTTGACTTCTAAATACCACTTTTGAGAACATGCAAAGTTAAAGTACAAGTCAACACTGAATAATAAATACTGAAGTTATGTAATCAGAAAAAATTATATTATGCTAAAAAAAACACATAGACTAGACACAGTGGCGCACATCCATGATCCCAGCAGCTCGGGAGGCTGAGGCAGGAGGATTGAAAGTTCAAAAAAAGACAGCCTCAGCAACTTAGCAAGGCCCTAAGCCACTTAATAAGATCCTGTCTAAAATAAAAAATAGAAAGGGCTGGAAATACCACTCAGTGGTTAAACGTCCCTGGGTTCAATCTATGGTATCAAAATAAATAAATAAATAGATAAAAACTACATGGTACGCTATATTAGATTTGGGAACAAAAATAAGTACTTTAGTGGAAATGTTAAAATCCAAATAAAGTCTGGAGTTTAATTAATAGTAATGTACCAATATTAATTTGTTTTAATGAATATACCATAGTTATATATAAGATGTTAACATCAAGCAGAAATGATTGAAGGATATATAGAAGCTCTCTACTAACCTTCCAACTTTTTGATAAATTTAAAATTATTCTAAAACAAACAAAAAAAGTCATGTATGTCTCTAAAAAGTACCCAAAAAACCCATAAAGGGCTGGGGTTGTGGCTTAGTGGTAGAGTGTTCGCCTAGCACTCGTGAGGCACTGGGTTCAATCCTCAGTACCACATAAAATTACAAATAAAGATATTGTGTCAAAAGAATAAAATCATGGCATTTGCAGGTAAATGGATGACGGTAGAGAAGATAATGCTAAGCGAAGTTAGCCAATCCCCCAAAAACAAATGCCGAATGTTTTCTCTGATATAAGGAGGCTGATTCATAGTGGGGTAGTAAGGGGGAGCATGGGAGGATTAGATGAATTCTAGATAGGGAAGAGGGGTGGGAGGGAAAAGGAGGGGGCAAGGGACTAGCAAGGGTGGTGGAATGTGATGGACATCATTATCCAAAGTACATGTATGACTGGGTGTTAACATACTTTATATATAAACAGATAAGAAAAATTGTGGTATATATGTGTAATAAGAATTGTAATGTAGAAAAAAAACAAAAGTGCATGTATAAAGGCATGAATTGGTGTGTACATACTCTATATGTGTAATAAGAACCGTAATGCATTCCACTGTCTTGTATTTTAAAAAAATAAAATCAATAAAACTAAAAAAAAAAGATACTGTGTCAACCTAAAACTAAAAAATAAATATTTTTTAAACCCCATAAATACATATAAAATATGTAATGATTTGAAATAAAGAAAACATTATGATATACTATTGGGGGGGTTGTTTACTGAGGATTGAACCAAAGGATGCTTAACTACTGAGCTACATTCCCTGCCCTTTTTATTTTTTATTTTGAGACAGGATCGCACTAAGTTGCTTAGGGCCATGCTACATTGCTGGGATTGGCTTTGAACTTGCAATGCTCTGGGATCACAGGCATGTGCCACCACGCCTAGCTATCACATACTATTGTAAAGGAATTTTTTATGAAACTAACTTTTTTCTCAAAGAATTAGACCATTTAATTAGACCATTTAATTAACACTGCACCACAACAAGAAAATCTACAAGAAAATTATTTGTAAATTTTAAATGTTCTGCCAAGTCTCTTACAATAATGAAAAGACAAATACAAATACTTTAAAATGGGCAAAGGCTATTAACAGACATTTCTCCAATCAAAACTACAAATGGCCAAGAGGCTATTAACAGACATTTCTCCAATCAAAACTACAAATGGCCAATAAATACACAAAAGGATGTTCAACATCTTTAGCCACCAGGGAAATGAAAATCAAACCACAATGAAATACCTTCACAATCACCAAAATAACTATCATCAAAAAAACAGATAATAACTAGCATCAAAAAAACAGATAATAGGACTGGGGCTGTAGCTCAGTGGCAGAGCGCTTGCCTAGTATGCATGAGGCACTGGGTTCGTTCCTTAGCGCCACATAAAAAAAATAAACAAATAAAATAAAGGCATTCTGTCCATCTAAAACTACAAAAAAAAAATTTTTTTAAAGACAAATAATCATTGTTAGTGAGGATATGGAGAAGTTGAAAACTATTAGTGGCAATGGAAATGAAACAGCTACTTTGGAAAACAGGCTAGAAATTCCTAAAAAGATTTGACACAGACATGCATGTTTACAACAGCATTGTTAATATAGCCAAAAGGAAGCAACAAACAAATGTCCATCAATTGACAAAATGATGAATAAAATGTGACATATTCATATAATGGAAACTTAGCTATTAAGAATGAAGTACTAAAAAAAAAAGTACTAACACATGCTACAGTATAGATGAATCTTGAAAACATTATGCTAACTAAAAGAAGCCAATCACAAAAGACCACATACTACATGACTCAATTTATATGAAATATTCAGAATAGGCAAATCTATCAAGATAGAAAATAAATGGAAGGCTTGGAGTTGTGGCTCATTGGTAGAGTGCTCAACTAGCACCTGTGAGGGGCACTAGGTTCCATCCTCAGCACCACATAAAAAAAATAAATAAAACAAAGTAAAAAAAAAAAAAAAAGAACGTCGGTGCTCAAGAATGAGACACACTTTAAAAAAAAAGGTAAACAGAAAAAATAAGGAATGAGTACAGAATCTTTTTGAGGTAATAAATATGCTCTAAAATTGATTGTGGTAATGGGTACACAACTTTGAATATTAAATTCTACTAAAAACAATTAAATTGTCCATGTTATGGTTTGGATATGAGGCGTTGCCCAAAAGCTCATGTGTGAGACAATGCAAGAATATTCAAAGGAGAAACGATTGGGTTGTGAGAATATTAACCCAATCAGTGAATTAATCCCCACAGGATTACCACCGAGTGGTAATTGAAGTGGTAGGGTATAGCTAGAGGAGGTAGGAATTGGAAGTGTAGCTTTGGGGTATATATTTGTATCTAGCAAGTGAAGACCTCTCTCTGCTTCCTGATCTTTAGCCACCAGGGAAATGAAAATCAAACCACAATGAAACCTCATGTGAGCTGCTTCCCTCTGACACACTCTTCCACCATGATGTTCTGCCTCACCTGGAGTCCCAAAGAATGGAGTCTAACGTCTCTGTATTAAGACCACTGAAACCATGAGCCCCCAAGTAAACTTTTCCTCCTCTACAATTGTGCTGATCAGGTCTTTTAGTTGCAGCAGCGAAAAAGCTAACTAAAACAGTCCAATTTAAATGAGTGAATTGTAAGACTCATAGATTTTTATCCCAATAATGTTGCTTAAAAGAATTTGGGGGCTGGGGCTGTAGCTCAGTGGTAGAGTGCTTGCCTAGCAAGCATGAGGCAATGGGCTTGATCCTTAGCACCATATAAAAATAAATAAATAAAATAAAGGTATTATATCCACTTACAACTAAAAAATATTAAAAGAATTTGGGTAGCTGGATGCAGTGGCACACACCTGTAATCCCAGGGGCTCAGGAGGCCAAGAAAGAAGGATCATGAGTTCAAAGCCAGCCTCAGCAAAAGAGAGGCACTAAGCAACTCAGTGAGACCCTGTCTCTAAATAAAATACAAAATAGAGCTGGGGATGTGGCTAAGTGGCCAAGTCCCCCTGAATTCAATCCCTGGTATTCCCCCACCAAAAAAAGAATTTAGCCTGTGTTATAAATGTGTTATTTCATCATCTTCATCATCATCATCATCATCATCATCATCATTATTGCTGTGGTTGTTGGTGTAATAAGGTTATGTTGACCCAGTAACATCCTCTTTTATAGACAAAGATACTAGGCCTTGGAGTAAATAAATAATTTGTACAGGTTACACAGCTAGTAACTGGCAAATCCAGACTTGATTCCCAGTATATTATACTGCCTCTTTTACTTTTAGCTGTGTTCATAATTTCATATTCCTGAGTTCTCACTTTAATTTTTAGCTCAAGAAAGAATATATAAAAACTTCACAATGCCCAAGGATGCCAAACTCAATATTGCCTTCAGAGTGCATTTATTATAAAAGAAAAACTAACTAAAATACCATCTGCATGTTTTAATAGAAATTCCCACACATAATTCAAATTATGCAAGTCATTAAACATTTAATAATAAAGTCACCTTCAGTGAATTGGTTGCTGTACTAAAAAGGAAACTAAAGTTTCACCTATGATCATCTTTTAGATTGTTTGAAGAGAGCCATTTTTAGACTATCCTCTATAAAAATTAAACCACTATAGGGAAGATCAATGGTTACAAGGCAAATTCCATTTTAGAAAACAGGAACCAGGAATGGGGATATGGCTCAAGTGGTAGCGCGCTGGCCTGGTATGCACAAGGCACTGGGTTTGATCCTCAGCACCACATAAAAATAAATAAAGATATTGTGTCCACCTAAAACAAACAAAAAAAAAAATTAAAAAAAAAAACAGGAACCAAAGCATACCAGAAACTGTAACCTCCTTGAGATTCAAGAAGAAAAGTAGATTTATTCTGACAAGATCCCTATGGATTAAATAAAACTTAAATGTGCCATACAATATTTCAATCAAGCATTTATGAAAGGTATTTTAATCCTGTGAAATAAAACTATCTTGTTTAACTCTTACTACATACTATGTTTTTGATATGCAATGTCCGCCCAAAAGCACCTATTAATTCAGGAATGTTCAGAGGTAAAATGCTTGCCTTATGAGATATTTTTAAATATTTAAAGATATTTTTAAATATTTAAAAATATTTTTTAAAAATGTGAAAATTACTGAAGTCTAGACAAGTAAAAGCTATCAAAAAACAGTCCATCCTAGTTTAAATGGAATGACTAGATGGTAACTATAGCAGATAGGGCATGGCTGGAGGAGGTGGGTCACTGGAGGCATGTCCTGGAAGGGTTATTCTTCCTGTGAACCTCCCTCATCCCATTTCCTGTCCCCACCATGATGAGCAACTTTCCTCCACTGGACCTTCCCCACAATGTGTTGCCTCCTCTTGGCCTAGAGCAATGGAGTTGACCATCTATGCACTGGGACTGAGACCTTTAAAACCATGAGACCCAAATAAACATTTTCTCCACTAAGTTGTTCTTGTCAGGTGTCTTAGTCATAATGACCAAAAAAGCTAACTAAAGCAATATGTAACATAAGCATGTTAATATAATACTATATACATTATATAGTTACAAAATTAAAGATAACTATAAATTCTTTAAAGTTTTTCAAAATACAAACACTAAGTGAATTTTCTTTTTCTATTACTCCTAATATTACCCAGAATCTGATGTCTATTCTTACCACGATTCTGGTTCCATTCATGTGCTTCTCCTAAGTACTTTACATCGAACTGGTACTGTCCATTTATATAAAAATAATCATCAGTACTAAGAATGACTCCACTTGGATTATCCTCTTGCAAAGTCCTGTGAATGATAAAGGGAGTTATTTTCATTAATTTTCCTTCCAAAATTCTCCCTCCTACTTTTTACAGTCATAATTCAAATAAAAAATTTAACTACAATTTACAAGAGTGAAAACATCGTAATATTCAAAGAAATCATACCAAAATTCTCTAAGCATAAGTTTGATTCCCAATAAAACTGGCCTAAGGCAGTTTGCTTATGTAATATTCAGAAATATTTTTGTTATAAAAACTATTATAATTAACTATAAATGTCTGAAGATTAGTACGTTTTTAATTACCAAGAATATCTGACAACTAAAAATGCTTCAGAGCTCAGTCACAAGCATTCCCCTTGTCTGATCACTTGATACACAATTATCTATTTCACCCACCTTAAGAAGGTCATTTCAAGCAGGCAATAGAACTAATATTTAAAAGTAGATGAAGATAGAACTAATATTTAAAAGTAGATGAAGATGGCCAGGCATGGTGGCACTTGCCTATAATCCCACTTACTTGGGAGGCTGAGGCAGGAGGATCACAAATTCAAACTGTCTCAAAAATAAAAAATAAAAAGGACTGGGATGTAGCTCAGTGGTAGAGCATCTCTGGGTTCAATACTCAATAAGAAAGAGGAGGAGAAGGATGAAGAGGAGGAAAAATAGACACAGCTCTCTGCATATTGCTATTAAACAAGTATACCCAAAACATCCAAAATATCATATTAATAGATTATCAATTTAATCTGTTAAGTAAAATTATACAAACTTAAGATAGCTTTGTGGGTAGGTTTTTAATTCCTAACACCTCTTCTAATTCTGGAATTTACCTGCTATATATTTGAGATACACACACCAAAAGAAACAAAAATTGTAGCCACACTTTGAAAACCCTTTCAGTCATTCCCCAGTTTCTCTCCTTCCCTTAACTCATTATCAAAACTTCTAAATCCATCTTCCACCTTCATGGGACAACAAAATTGCTTGAGAGTTTTTGTTTGTTTGTTTGTTTGTTTGTTTGTTTTGGTACTGGGGATTGAACCCAGTGGCGTATAACCACGGAGCCATATCCCCAACCCTTTTTTATATTTTATTTAGACAGGGTCTCACTAAATTATTTAAAGCCTCACTAAGTTGCTGAGGCTGGCTTTGAACTTGTGATCCTTCTGTCTCAGCCTCCCAAGCTGCTGGGATTACAGGCGTGCACCACCACACCCCACAAAATTGTTTAACTTATCCCTTCATGACCCTCTTTCCAGTAAATCTGAAAGCCCTGTTTTCACCCTCATTTTTCTTGAGCTCACATACTAGTTTAATGCTCTGTCTCTGAAAAAACTCAGCTTCAATGTCTCCACACTATCCCACTTATTTCTCTCTTCATTCAAAAAATAATATTCCTACATTGGGACAAGCACTTTTTTCTCTTCCCATTCTCAAAGTATAGCTGCCTCTGATTTTAAAGCCTCTGAAATCTAGTTCTACAATCCTGTCTCACAGCTCTATACCTTTTAAAATATGGTCCTTCATTCTAATTTCTTTCTCAATATACAATGCTGTGACTTTCTGAAATATATGCATTATTAAATTGCTTTAATTTTGTTAGGTCAATGAGAACAGCCCATGATTTATCTACAGAAGAATACATTTGTAAATGCATGAATAAAATATGTGAAAATTAGGGTCAGGGTTGTAGCTCAGTGGCAGAGTGCTCGCCTAGCACGTGTGAGGCACTGGGTTCCATCCTCACCACCACATAAATATGAATATATAAAATAAAAGGTATTGTTGTCCACCTACAACTAAAAAAAAATATTTTTAAAAAATGTGAAAATTACTGAAGTCTAGACAAGTAAAAGCTATCAAAAAACAAGTGAATGGGCTGAGGGCCTGTACAACCTCCTGCCTTTAGATGTTGCAGGCCCGCTCTGTCCCCTCAGCCCGGCAAACACCCACTAAGCTCTAAAGGGAAAAACCTTCTCACTAACCATGGGATGACCTCAAAGCATCATCCCCCTCAGCAACCCTAAGTTGACAGAAGGAAAATGCCACAGCACTGCAACCATTTTCTCTTTCTCTTTCAACATTCATTATTTTGTACTCAGGATACAAAAAAAAAAAAAAAAAACACCTGGTTTGTGCCACTCCCTTCAAAAAGCTCTGCAAAAGGAATCCAGTGCCAAACTTTGGGACATGGCACATTATTTGATTCTTAGCCTTAGTGACCTCTCCAGGCACCAAAACTGAAACCCGAACCATTTTAATGTTCTGTTACAACAGTAATTAATTCTGTCACTCTTTTCTATTCCTTTCCAACTCAAACTTCAGGTTTTGTTAATTTTCACTCTCCCAAGGTTTATATAGCTTATATTTGCCTGTAATTATAGTTCCCACAATAAAAGAAACATTTTTTACTTCAAAAGAAAAACAACTGAGGGCTGGGATTGTGGCTCAGTGGTACAGCGATCACCTAGCACGGGCAGGACCTGGGTTCGATCCTCCGCACCACATAAAAATAAAGGCATTGTGTTGTGTCCATCTACACCTAAAAAATAAATATTTAAAAAATAAAAAAAAGAAAAACAACTGAAATGAGCTAATAAAACACATTCCACAGATAACTATGCATACTCACTAAGATTAAATGTACCCAGGACCAAACAGAAAAGACCCTCTCAAGAAAAGAGGGTAAACAATGAAAAACTTGGAAAGAAAAAAAGCATAGGCAAATAAAATGTTAGGAATAAATCTCTTGCCATTTAAAAGCTAAGGAAAGGGCTGAGGCTGTAACTCAGTGGTAGAGTGCTTGCCTCACACACGTGAGGCCCTGGGTTCAAACCTCAGCATCACATAAAAAATAAATAAATAAATAAAGATATTAAAAAAAAAAAAAAAAAGCTAAGGGAAGGGAAAAGGAACTAAGAAAATAGTACTTTTTTTTTGGTACCAGGGATTGAACTGAGGAGTGCTTAACTACTGAGCCATATCCCCAGCCCATTTTATTTTTTATTTTGAGACAGGGTCTCAATGAATTGCTTAGGGCCTTGCAATTCTCCTGCCTCAGCCTCTCAAGTCAATTATAGGCATGCACCATTGTACTCAGAGAAAACAGTACTCTTGAAGGAGTGCCACTGGAACCATAAAATGCTACTTCTAACACTGACTCTGGTCACCGGCCAAGGCACACACCTCCTAACTTAACTACAAAATGAACAAAAATGGATATGAGAAAATAGTTGAGAGTACTGTTTTGCAATAAATAAATCACAGAAAATTTAAAGTTCTTTTACTACCATTGTTCATCTCTTATGCTCTATCTTGAAATCACACATTTCTAAAAATGTAATTTAACAACATACTAGAATCTCAGACTCCCAACTACCAGTAGAATTCATGTATTTAAGACTTCCTTTTTCATAATCCACTTGAATCAAATGTATAAAATATGATATGCCAAGAACTTTGTAATGTTTTGAACAACTAATAAAAAAAATTAAAAATTAAAAAAAAGACTTCCTTTCCATGAATACAAAATTAATTATGGTTGTTTAACTCCATGATCAAAGTTGAACTCATCTTTCTCCCACTCAAATTAACTCTCCTCCACACAAAGTTATTCCTGTTTATTTCACAAGGTCAAAATATTGGAACCAGGGCTGGGGTTGCGGCTCAGTGGTAGAGTACTTGCCTAGAACACGTGAGGCCCTGGGGTTTGATCTTCAGCACCACATAAAAATAAATAAATAAAAAGTATTAAAAAATATATTGTAACCATCTTAATTTTTTCTTCTATTCTCTCAAAGGTATTCTGAGAGGAAATTTTCCAATAAAAATTTCTAGAGAAAACAGTGTTATTAGCTACAAAGTTCAAAAAAACAAGTGGGAAAAAAAAATACCTTATGAGTTAATAAACATCTCCATCAAGCAAAGCATTTTGCATATTCAGATTATCTGTTCAGAATCATGCATAATACTTCTTAGAATTCAATTGAAACCTCGTACCTCGCCAAAAAAGATTTTCCTGATCCTGGAAGGCCTCTGAGAAGAACAAGAACTAGTCCAACATATGATGTTGTCTTTTTTCTTACAACTTGAGAAACAGGAGTTTCTTGTACTTGATAAGCACTTGTTCCCTCTTGGTTTCTCCATACCTTCGTTGGGGAAGTGTGAGAAATGATCGAGGGTGGAAATGTGTAGTTGACGGGTCTCCAGTGTGCAGCTGTGGTTACAACAGGAGCCACAAACCCATGGCTTCCTTGAAAGAGGTCAAAAGCAGGAATCATTGGATTCCACATTGGTGGAGGTGGAGGAGGAGGAAGCAGTAAAGGGAGAGGGGTAAGTACTGGGCAGTAATTCATATCCTTCCCCTTTGGTGGTAGTTCAGTATGTTTGTGTGGCTTGAAATTGAACCCTTCAGAAGGTACAAAAATATCAGAGACAGAAGTAGACCTCTGATTCCCACCAGTATCTGGCAAATCACACCCTGAATTTTGCACAGGAAGGTTTAAAGAAGCTTGAGGTTCGTTAGCATTCAAATTTACAGGGGCTTCGGAAAGTTGAGCCTCAACATGCTCAGATTCTAAAAGCTCGCTCTGTCTCTGATTAAGATTGCTACAACCCACGATAGAGTCATTTGTTGGATTTAAAGAATTACTGAGATGAGAATCTTCTTGGTAATCATCTTCTAAAGCCAAAGTGTTATCCTTTATAAAACTTTTGGACCCATTCAAAACTGAATGTGAAGTTAATGGGTTTGAACTTACTGTAGAGACAGAATTTTCTAAATTCTCACTGTTGGAATCCATATTTTGCATACAATGGACAGGAGCCGTATTACTTGAATGTGAATTTATAAATTTACTTGGGTCATTAAAACTATTAACATCTTGCAAAGGCAAAAATGAGTATACTTGGTCATCAGGAGAAGAGTTCAATTTCTCAAAAGCATTCTGTATTAAGGAATCCAAGTCTTCGGTCAGCTGCATATCCAGAAATGAATCCATCTTCGAATCTTCACTCTCTTCTTCAAGAGGACACTTCTCCATTATTTCACTTCCTGTTTCAACTGGCTGGTTCTCAGAAGCAACAAAGCTTTGTGAAGATGATTCTTCTATCTTGGCATCAGAGGCAGACAATTCTAACAGACAATCCATGGCATTTTCAACTGTACAACAAGAACAACAACAATAACAACAAAAAAATACATATAGATGTTGAAAAAGTAAGACATAACTTTATTAAAATCCAAGGAAAATACTGGATTTTGCCTTGAAAGGAATATAGAGAAATTTATATATATTCAAGTCATCTTTTAGAAATTAATTTTTTACTAATATAACAAAGACTGCATTACTGAAGAAGTTTTAATAAGAGACATGCAATGCTGTTCTTTCAGACAAATAATACTAAACTATCATCCAGTACATAGTCTTCAATTAAGTTGTTGAGTAAAAGTATAAATATGTGGAATAGTATATGTTAGGGTTATTTATAAAGGTCTTAAATTCAATTGATTTATTCAACAATTACCTATTGCATGTTATTTTAAGTATTGCATATTTAAGTACATATTCTAGTAAGTCTAATTTATAAAGACCATACTACAAATTTCACTTAATACAAAAAAATTTTTATGAGCATGTACTATATATCATAAATACTTTTTAAAAAAACAAATAAGAGTCTTTACTACTTCAAAGGATTTTGCAGTTTAATGGAGATTGAAGACAATTACATTAGAAAATAATTATATCATACTATAAATTAAATAATGCATTGTTTTGAGAGTGTACAAATGCCACAGCAGTGTTCAGGAAAGTAAGGAAAGATTTTACATAAAGGGATATGTGAACTGGCACTTGAAAATTAAAAAGCAGTTTGCCAAATGGGAGGAAAAGGTAAGCCAAGGTTGAAAATACAAAGCATGTTTAAAGTATTGAGAGAAGTTGGTTGGAGAGAGTGGGTACTCAGCAATATGTATGGTTGAAAAGAAAAGAAGATAAAACTGCAAAGGGAGATGGGATAAAATTGAGAAGGGTCTTATATGACATGCTAAGAAATATTAATTTTATTTTTTAAGGGAACTTGAAAAGAAACTGATAGTCATAGCATTTGGGCTAGAAGTTTTATACAAATCACCTCACTGAATCCTCGAAGAATACTATGAGGTATTATGAAGACATCTATGGAAATAGATGAAGACAATGAAGCTCAAAAAAGTATACCAACTCAGCTCAAGTCACACAGATAGAAAGTGACAGAGCAGGACTGGTGTGTCTGACTCCAATGCTGAGCTCTTTTTGTAATAACAAATGAGCAACCATTAGAATTTTTAAGTATTTAGGAATGGGGATGTAGATGCATTAAACCCTGGATTTGATTCCCAGCACCACAAGAAAAACTTTTAAGCATCTAAAATTTGGGGTTTGTTTTTGTTTTGGGGTTTTTTGTGTTTTTTTTGAAATTTTTTTTTTTTGAAGTTTTTTTTTTTTTTTCCTTGATTTGTTTTAAAGAAGATTAATGTGGAAATGGCACAGCACAGCAGGTAACAGCTCTGGTCTGGAGTCAGAACACCGGCATTTAAATTCCTACTTGCTGGCTACATCACTTTGAACAAGTAATTAGCTTCCCTAAGCCTCAAGTTTCTCATTTGTAATATTGGGATAATAAAAGTACCTACCTCATAGGTTGTTGTGAGGACTAAATGAGATAATCCATGAAAAAGTGCTGTGCACAAGGACTGGCACCTAGTAAGCACCCAATTAATGTTCCCTTAAGAAGAAAAACAAAGAGGGATTGGAGGGGGCAAACCTGGCAGAAGGATCAATCAGGAAATCACATCAATACTACAAAGGCAAGAAGCCCTAAAAATGGAAAAAAGGGAAAAGAAAAAAAAAAAAGAAAGAAAGAAAGAAAAAGAAAGCAAATATAAGAGGTATTTCTATGAAAAAAATCTACATGATAGAAAAACCAAAAAAAATCAACTTAAAAAACTAGCATGTATATAACAACAACAAAAAAAAACAGCATTAAGTAAAAAGAAATACAAGACCAACATAGATCATTATCAAACAAAGAAAAGTCTTAAACAGAGTGTTGGAAAAAATTTAAACTATAGTAGAAAAACAAACAAAAATATGAATGAACAATAAATATAAGAATATAAGAATTAATGAAAACTCATCTATAAAAATGTTTACTATTTCTCTTTATTAAAAAAAACACAAATTAAGGTACAATTTATTACTATTAAAATCTTAAAACAATTCTACATAATGCTGAAGAGGCTGTGGTGAAAGGGCTACACTTATTCAGTGCCAGTGGTATTACAAACCTGCATACCTCATTGGTGGGCAATTTAAGCAGTGTATTTCCAAGGGTCGAAAACTGCTCTTACCCTATGACGCAGAAAACAAAATTTGGGGACTAAGAAAAAAAAGCCAAAAGAAAGAAAGAGGCTATTTTTACCAAGGTGTTCTTCACAATGTTAATTATTCATGAGAAACTTAGATAAATAAGTTACAGCACAATTCCTCACTGGAGTCCTGGAAAACTGCTGAAAATAAACAAAAGGTTGTAGAACACTGAAAAACTGTTTATGTCATATTAAGTTTAAAAAGCAGAATATAAAATGTCATCAATGCTATTATTCAAACTACTGAAAATATCAAATGTTTATAACAAGGTCCTCAGAAGATCCTGAAAAGAGAAATAAGTTATTTGTTAAGATATATAGTTTTCTTATGGTTTCCTGCTCCTATGTTAATGTATATTCAACAAATTTTAAAGACACCAAAATTAGGAAATAAATGTTAAAGTCACTTACAAAACTACACACCATCATTTCTGAGCACCAAGTGTGTTGTAGAAACCTGGTTTTCTGCACACATACCAAAATAGAATAGGTAAAATATGCTCACATCACAGTTCACACAATGACTAAAATGGAAGTATATCATGTATTATCAAAACCTTCAAATCTTCATTTTATACTAATCATGGTCAATAACAATACTAAATATCATCAAGTCATTTATTCATCCAGTCAACTTTATACAGTCCCTCGGTCTGCAAACATACTTCTAAACAGTTTATTACAAGTTATTAATAATTTACTAAGACTTCACCAAGAAAAAATACTCAGTCCTCAACCAAAAAGTCCTATAAAATATATGCTATTATTTTTTTATTAACAGATTAGAAAACAAAAGACTTGAGAGGTCAGCAGAACTGAAATGCAACCCAGGCCTCTTGAGTCCAAAGCCAATGTTCTGAAACAACACTACTTGCCTCAATTCTTATTAATCAGCTCTTATTTCTATAATTATAAACAATTACCTAGTCACTCAATAAATCTCTGCTAACTTCTATTATGGGTCATTTGCTATTTCAGGGGTTAGGAATATAGAAGAAAAATAAAAAGTTTTTAAAATCTCTGTCTTCATGGAGCTTACATTCTAAGACACTGGCTCTCAACCACATATAATTTTGTCTCCCAGGGGACAAATGACAACATAGGGAAATATTTGTGATTGTCACAACTAGGGGTTGGGGTGCTACTGGCATCTAGTGAGTATAGGCTAGGGATGCTACTAAACACCCTATAATACACAGCAGAACCATTTACAATGAAGAGTTATCCAGTCCAAAATGTCAACAGTGCCAACCGGTTCTAAAGGAAAGATTAAAAAATAAAATGAAGAATGATATCTATACATGCATCTTACATCTAGAACTGTGCATTTCTTAAGAGGAAAAATTTTGCTTTATTCTTCTTCATATTCCTCATAATACCAAACGTAGTACCTTGCCCATGGCAGGTGCTTAGAAAATGATGAACAAAAGGGAAATAGGACAGTTACTTTACTATATTACTACTGATCATGGCATATATATGAAGTCTTCTTATAAGACGCAAAGGGTTCAAACTGAACTTTTTCTCACCTTTGAAATCACATTCAGAAAGCATCAAATATACTACATCAGGATCCAGATCAGAAAACATCTCTGAGATATTGGTGAAGAGTTCTTCCTGATCAGTGTTTGTCTCACACACGGAAGGAAGGGTAGTGGTTGACTCCTCATGACTAGCAAGACTGGATACGACAACTTCCTTAGAGTTTGCAGTCTTCCGAATAGGATTTCCCCCAAGATTTTTCCTTTTCCTTGGCATTCTGACTTCCAAAACTAAAATTTTTCCCTTTTTTAAAAAAATTTAAGATGTTTGATATTAAATCATAATTCAAAGAAAATAGCGTTAAAAATCTTGCACAATCCAGTGGTAATAGGACCTAAAATAGAAAGCAAGTAAAAACACTCAGGCTATGTAGTTATATTTCTAAAACTGGAATGACATTATTATTTAATGCTAAGAAAGTACCATCGACTCTGGCAGCAAAGCCAAAAAATAGTCGAACAATTTCTCTGTCCAAAATATTCCAGTTTTTCCAGAATTGAACATGTTAAATAAAAATTAAGATATTAACAAACGTAATGTATTTCAGAACAGTGAATACACTGTGTGAAACACAGTGACTACACTGTTTTAATACCATTATTTCATTTTAAACACATAAAACAGCATCCATAAATACAATTATGATGCCTATTGAATCTACACTCAGATGTCTAATAGGTATCATAAACTAAACATGTCCAAAACTTGAGTTCCTGATCAAACCCTTTGAACCTGTTCTTCCCAGTCTTTCCCATCTCTGTTAATGTAACTCTATCCTTCTAATTGCTCATGTTATAAATCTTGGAATCATCTTTGACTCCTCTCATCCCACATCCAACTGGTAAGCCAATTTTGCCAAATACAACCCACAAAATGTATCCAGGATGTGATCATTCTTTACCATCTCCACTGCTACCACCCTAGATTCAGCTATCTCAGACTCTCTCCTGGATTAATCAGACAAATCAATCTCCCTGCTTCCACTCTTGTCCCTTCAGTCTACTTAGCACAGCAGGCAGAGTGGCTCAATTAAACCCTAGGCTGGATCATACGCTTTTCTCCTACACTATCCACCAGCCTCCTGTCTCAAGATGAAAGCAAAGCCCTTAAAATGACCTTAACCCAGACACTTGTTACCTCTGTACTGTCATCTCCAGATCCTTCTTCCCTTGCTCATGCCATTCCAGACATACTTAGCATCCTTGCTTTTCTTCAAACACATCAGCCATGCTCCCAAATAGCAACATTTACACCTTGGTTCCTAATATCTGAACTACTTTTTACCAGGTACTTATATATTTCCTCACCACCTTCTTATCATTACTCAAATGTTACCACCTCAGAAACTCAAGTCCTCTAATTCCTTTCTCTTGTTGATTTTTTTTTTTTGCCTAAGATTTATCTTCTAACATGGCATATGTTCTATTAATATTGTGTTTACTATCCACAATCCAGTAAAGTGTAAGCTCCACAAGGGCAGTGACTCATGTATTGGGAATAAAACTACAGAGAATTTACTTGTTTTCTCTGCTTGGATGTAGTCAATAAACACTTCAGATTTAACATATTTTCCCCAAAATCCACTCTAACTATCTGGTCTAACTACCATCATCTACCATTTTTGTCTCCTAACTAGTTAGGATTCTTGTCCTAACTGGTTAGCACCCTTGTCCCCTAAAGTCTATTTTCAACCTACCTGCCAGAATGATCTTTAGACAACCTAAGTCTAATTGAATCAGGATCTGTTTTAAATTCAAGTTGTTCTCCATGTCACTTGGAGTAAAAGCTAAAGTTCTTTCAATGGCTTACCTCCCTGCTGACTCTTAATTTACTCTTCCCCAGACATTTGCATTACTAAATCCCACACTTCCTTCAAAAGTCTCTGTTCAAGAATCATATTCAATGATTTTTTTCTAATTGTCCAATTGAAAATCAAATACCCAACTCCCTCTGCCCCAATCTCCTCCCTTTCTGCTGACCACCCATTGCCCTTGTCACCTTCTAACATACTATAAAATTTACCTTTTAATTAAATTTGTGTCATAGGCTCTCCACCTTCCAGAATTGCAATGTCAATATGGCAGCCACCAGCCACATGTGCCTATTTAAATTTAAATTAATTAAAATTAAATAAAATTACACTTTTATATGTTAGATATAAGTAGAATGCAAAGAAATTACCAGAGACAGAAAAAAGAGTAGGTAAATAATGATAAAGGATCAATCCACCAGGAAGACATAGCAAGCCTAAATGTCCACATACTCAATAAGAGAGCTACCAAACAGATAAAGAAAAAACTGATAGAACTGGAAAAAAAAAAAAAGACAAATTCACTGATTCAATACTGCTCCAGTAACAATTTACACAATTAGACAGAAAATCCCAAAGATACAGAATTCAACAATACCAACAATTAAGAAATCTAATCAACATTTCTAGAACATTCCACCCAACAACAGCAGAATATATATTCTTTTCAAATGCCCACAGAACATCTACCAAGACAAACCATAACTAAGCTACATAACAAATCTTACCAAATTTAAAAGAATTAAAAGAATACAATTTGTTCTCCACATAGAATCAAACTAGAAGTCAACAAGTCAAAGGATAACAGAAAAATCTCCAATTTGGAAACTAATATTCTTCTAAATAATCCATGGATCAAAGATGAGTGTAAAGAAAAATTTTTAAATACGCTGAACTGAATAAAAATGAAAATACATTATATTGAAATTTACAGCACACAGCTAAAGCAGTGATGAAGGGAAATGTATAGTGCTAAATGCATACGTTGGAAAAGAAGAAACACCTTAAATCAACAGATAAGCCCTCATCACAAGAACCTAGAAAAAAATAGAAGGAAATGAAAAGACAGCAACGAAAACAGGAGAACAACAGAGAAAATCAAATTTTAGAAGTACAAACTAGCTAATTAAAATAAATACAATCCACAAACCTCTAGCTAAAAGAGAGAAAACACAAATTATCAATATTAGGGTTAAAAATGGAATATCATTACAGACCCTGAAGATATCAGCAGACTAGTAAACTACAAACATTTATACACACAGAAGTCCAGTCTACCGTAACACACTCAATAGATAAAAGACTTATAATTTACCAGGTGTGGTGACACATGCCTATAATCCCAGGAGCTCAGGAGGCTGAGGCAGGAGGATCATAAGTTCAAATCCAGCCTCAGTAACTTAGCAAGGACTTAAGCAATTTAGTGAGACCCTGACTCCTAATAAAAAATAAAAATAGGCTGGGGATGTGGCTCAGGGGTCAAGCAGTCCTGGTTCAATCCCTGGTACCAAAAAAGAAGGGGGGGAAAAAACTATAATTTTTAGTTAAATTTAATTCACAATTTTAAAACTAAATACACACACACACACACACACACACACACACACACACATCTCAGTATTAAATGAAGAACTCTAACAAACATTTTTAAGAAAACTCAACGTGACTTCTACACAATCTCTCCTAGGAAATAAGAGGAAGGAACACTTTCAATTCATTTTATAAAGTTAGTACTATCCTGATACCAAAACCAGAGGCTGGGGATGTAACTTGGTGGTACAGCTTGCCCTGCACACCTGAGGTCCTGGATTTGATCCCAAGCACTATCAAAAAGAAAAAGCCAAAACCAGACAAAATCAAAAAAATACAGACCAACTTCCCTCATAAATGTAGTTACAAAATCGTTAAGAAAACATTAGCAAATAAAATTCAGCAATATATTTTAAAAACTTATATACCATGAAGTTTATTCCAAAGATGCAAAGCTGGTTCAATATTTAAAAATTAGTGTAATCTACAATATTAACAGGTTAAAGAATAAAAATTAAACTGTATCAATCAATATTGGAAAAAATCTGACAAAAATCAACACTCATTCATAATTTTTAAAAAACCTACCAGAAAAAAAAAAAAAAAACAGAAATAGAGGGGCACTTCCTCAACTTGATAAATAACATCTACAAAAAAACCTACAGTTGGCTGGGTGGCCAACCGTAGTAGTATGGTGGCCCATGCTTATAATCCCTGCTATGGTAAATGAGGCAGGAGGATAGCAAGTTCAAGGTGAGACTGAATAACTTAGCAAAACCCTACCTCAAAATAAATTGTTTTAAAAGTTTGGAGATTTGGCTCAGGGGTAAAGGGATTGCCTAGTTTATACAAGGTCCTGGGTTTGATCCCCAATACCACCATCCACCAAAAAATTTAAAAAATAAATAAATTTAAAACCCTAGAGTTAACATTATATCTAGTGATAAAATACTAAATGCTTTCCTCCTAAAATCAGGAACATAGTAAGAATATTCACTCTTACCACTTTTATTCAATATATTGCTAGAAGTTCTAGCTTGTAAAATAAGGTATAAAAAAAAAAGAAAAGAAGTATATATAGATCAGAAAAGAAGGAATGAATCTGTCCCTAATAACAGATGATGTGGTCATTGAGGAATCTACAAAATATCCAACAAATAAGTTTAGCAAGGATGCAAGACAAAAAGAAAGAAAGAAAACAAAAAATACAACAGTTACCTCTCCTAGCAATGTACATGGTTGCAGAATATTCAGTCACTCCAAAAAACTATGAAATACTTAAGTACAAATCTAACAAAAGAAATGCAAAACTTTTATGCTGAAAATTACAAAACAGGGATAAAAAAAAAAAAAACATCTAAATTCATGGCAAGACAGCATGTTCATGGACTGAAATGCTCAACATGCAAAGATGTCAATTCTTCCCATATTCATATACAGGTTTAACACAATTTCTATCAAAACTCAAGCAAGACTTTTTTTTTACAAACATAGACACGATTATTCTAAAATTTATAAGAAAAAGGAACTACAGGGCTGGGGATATGGCTCAAGCGGTAGCATGCTTGCCTGGCATGCGCATGGTGCTGGGTTCGATCCTCAGCACCACATATAAATAAAAAATAAAGACTTGTGTCCACTGAAAACTAAAAAATAAATAAATATTTAAAAAAAAAAGAAAAAGGAACTACAGCTAGAACAATTTTGAAAAAGAATAGAGTGGGAAGGGATCAATCGACCTGATTTCAAGAGTTCGTAAACAGCCACAGTAATCAAGTCTGCATGGTATCAGCAGAGTAACAAATCTGGGAATAGAATAGAAAACACCAAAACGGCTAACATATATATGCCCAACTGGTTTTTGATGAAGGTGCAAAAGAAATTCAATGGAAAATATACAGCCTTTTCAATAAATGATATTGGAACAAGCAGACACTTAGAGGCAAAAAATATAAAGCTTAATCTAAGTCTCACACTTTACAGAATAATTAACTCAAAATAGATCACAGATTTAAATGTAAGAAATAGTGGGGTGCTGTGGAGCATGCCTATAATCCCAACTACTGGGAGAATCAGGCAGGAGGATCACAAGTTTGAGGCCAGCCTCAGTAATTTAATGAGATCTTACATCAAAATAAAAAAAAAAAAAAAGGCTGGGAGACTGTAGCTCAGAGGTAGAAAGCCCTGGATTCAATCCTGAGTACCACAAAAAAAAATAAAATAAATTAAAAACTGATAATTTTCACTTCAAAATAAAAATTTGCTCCATGAAAAATCCCTTTAAAAAAAGAAAAAAAAAACTCTCAAGAGGATAAAAAGACAAGCTACATACTTGAGAGAGAATATTTACTTATTATATGTATGACAAGGAACTAATATCTGGAATACATAAAGAACTTATGAAAATTTAACCGCCAAAATAAACAATTCAACTAGAAAATCAGTAAAAAAGGAGAAAATGTTATATGAAAGAAGCATACAAATGGCAAATAAGCAAATAAACAACCTTTGGTGTCATTGGCCACTAATAAATGCAAATTGAATCTATAATGACATATTACTTACCTATTAGGTTGGCTAAAATAAAACATATTGACAACATCAAATAATGGCTAAGCTTCAGAGACACTAGATCCCCCCTGTGTTGTTGATTGGAATGTAAAATAGCATAGTCACTTTAAAAACATTGGCAATTTCTTTAAAAATTAAATATACAACTATCATACAAGTTGCACTTCTGGATTTATATCCCTGAGAAATGAAAAACTATATTAGCTCAAAACTCCAGGTAAATGCTTACAACAGCTTTATTCATAATAATGTCATTCAATGGGTAACTGGTTAAAACAAATACGATACATCTATTCCATGAAATACCAGTCAGTATAAAAAAAAAAAAAAAAAGACCTGATACATCATTAACCTATATAAAATTTCAGAGAATTATACTGAGTAAAAAAACCAACCCTACAAGGTCATATATTAAATTATTCCACTTATATAATATTCTAGAAATGACATAATTATAGACATGGAGAATAGATTAGTGATTTCAAGCCTTGAAAAAGGAGTAAGAGAAGGAGGGAAAAGTAGAAATGGGCAGAGCACAGTGGTGCATGCCTGGAATTCCAGCAATTTGGGAAGCTGAGGCAGAGGACCACAAGTTAAAAGCCAGCCTCAGCAACTTAAGGAGGCCCTAAGTCTCAAAATAAAAAAATAAATAAATGAAAAGGGGTGGGGATTGGCTCAGTGGCTAAGCTCCCCTAGGTTCAATCTCTGGTACCAAAAAAAAGAAAAGGAAAAAGAGAAATGGCTATAAATGGGCCACTTAAGGAATTACTATATCTTGACTATATTAATATTTGTATCCTGGTCGTGATCTTGTTCTATATTTTTACAAAGGGATACCATTCAGAGAAACTGAAGTAGTGGGGCAGGGCAAAGAGAAGAAGAAACAGTAAGGACATAGAGTTCAGCCATGCAATAAACATAACTAGACTAAATATCTATTCAATAAACTAATAGATAAACTGGGCTGAGGTTGTGGCTCAGTGGTAGAGCGCTTGCCTTGAACATTTGATTTGATTCTCAGTACCGCATATAAATAAATGAATAAAAGAAAGGTCCATCAAGAATTTTTTTAAAGTTTTTAAAAAATTTATATATACACACACTGCACCCAAATAACCATAGTATACGCTTTTTCAACTGCACATGAAATCATGCTAGAAATCAGCAGCAAAAATATAATTTAAATAATA